ATTGTTAAATTATTAATTAATTTTTAATTTTTTATCGTTAACAATTCGTAATTAACAATTAGAAATTCCCATCGCTAATTTCATCATAGTTTTAAAATAGCTACTAGACATAATAGGTTAATTTCAATCAAACTAATCTAAATAGTCTGTATCATAACAATTAAAAATGAATTACATGTTGTTTTATGCTATATACACGCTAATCTTAGTAGGAAAATGACCCTTCTGTTCACATCACAAAAGGCTCACATAACAAACACGATGAGCTTCACAAAAGACTCATTTAGCCGAAGATATCTTGACAATAACCTAATGGAATTCGATGAAAGTTTTTTTGTTTGAATTCTACTGATTTGTAGAATTAAAATAAAAAAAAACTTTCATCGAATTCCATTGGGTGGTTGTCGATATCTTCGGTTAAAGATGAGGCATAGTTCAGAATATACATTAAATAGAAGCTACGGCAATTTTTTTTTTAAATTTAACACTGTAACCACCTAATGGAATTCAATGAAATTTTTTTATTTAAATTCTAGAATTAAATAAAAAAAATTTTACTGAATTTGGTATGAGAAATTATTGATTGAAGTTTAAAAACTACGATTATAACCTTTTCGATATTTGACATTTTTTTTTAAACTTAATATGAAGATTTCTCAACAACTACTAGACCAATCTAACCTCAATAAATTTTATTTTCATTCTACAACTTTATATGATTAAACCAAAAAAATTTATCGCGTTTTGCCCAAGGTAAAAAATAAAATTTAAAAAAGACCTTCACGCAGTACAGCGAATCAAAATCGATTCAATATCATCGAACTGCGGCAGTGGCGTTTTATCACGCGACCAGGAAAATCGGTGGCCGCCCTGGTCGTATCTGACTTGTGATCGGGTACGCATTGATCGAGCGTCGTGATCTAATTGATGCATAATATATCGGGTGATCACGATTTAATTAAAAGTCTAAAATAGTGATTGCATGAACAATGTAGTCAGTAGCGATTAGTAAGAATAGATTGCATGAACAATGTAGTAATCAATAGCGATTAGTAATAATATATAAAGGCATCGATCCAAATGGGGAAGTGCCAGAACTTTGGTTCCCGATATCTCTTTGAATTATTCTTAGTGAATAAACTGTTTTATCTGTGTGAATACATTATCAGTGGTAGTATCTGGTAAGATACTCCAGTTATCATATATATTAGTCAAGCGACGGTAGTCCGTGACAGTAATAAATAACATTAATAATGGACATAGATAATTTGAAATTGTGCACTTCGTGTATGCACAAGTTACCTCCGGAAGCCTTTATTTATAAAGGCAAATCTTACAAGACCTGCTCAGACCGTTTAATTGCAAAATCCAATAACACCAATAAAAAACGAACTCTTCCCATTAGTGATGAATCTGAAAATGTGAATAATTCATTAGAAAGTCAATTAGAAAGTCAATTAGAAAGTCAATTGGAATGTGAAATTGAAAATATCATTTTTACAGACATTATTGAATATGTTCTAATAAAACCGTTGGCCTTGAGCAAGATTCTAATCTTGTTTTTAACTTGCGTGTTGAGCTTAATGACGATATATTAAATGCTGCTAATAATGATATGAAAACATTAGTGAAATTGATAGTGGACGAAGTTGAAGAAGGTGATGGATATCATTGGACATAAGGAATCTTCAATTTAAATCTTAAAATCAAATTATTTAAATTAATTATTCTTATATTTGCAGATTCACAACTGGACCTACCATATCAGTACGTCATTCTGGTGTCGGTAAATATTATCTTGCATGTTTCCAGTGCTGTGAACTAGAGCGTGAGTATAAAACGTCAAATCGTAGCCGAATGGATCGCTTTGACTGTCATGGCAAGATGATTATTAGTATTGATATACCAGCGAAAGAGGCAAAAATAAAGCTCTCTCGTAACTTTCAGCACGAAAAGCCTACTGATACTACGACCCCGGAAGAAATAAAGCATGAAATAATGCAGAATCTCTATATGGATCCAGTGCAGCTACGAACGCATCTCCGTCAAAAATTTGATGCTTCACATGTTACTTCAAAGCAAATCAATTATTGGTAGACTATTTTTAATCAACATTTCTTTAAATTAGATAATGATCCTGTTATTTCTACACGTCGATTTTTAGAAGACCCTAATAATAATAGTGAACTTTGTTATGAATATAGAGATAATTTAATCATTGCAATTGGATTTATTACTCCTCTAATAATTAAACTCTTACCTGTGTCATGTCTCAAGGGTGGTCAGCAATATGGATAAGGTTTTTAAAATGTTAAACGACATTGAAACGGCACAAAACAGGAGAAGGCGTAATCCAACATGGAAAGGATTAACTCCATGGACATTATATTTACAATAAATTTTCACTAAATTCGTGATCAGTTATTACTATTCGCTCAAAAAATAAAAAAAAAGAATAATTGGTTAAATTAGAAGATATAAAAAGTTTAAATTAAAAAAAAATCAAAAACTTATCCTTTATCTTTATTAAATTCATGATCTGTTGTTACAATTCACTCAAAAAAAAAAAGAGCTGATCTTTTTATTAAATTCACGGTTTGCTGTTACTGTTTGCTCTAAAAAAAGTTAGAGGACGTAAAAAAATTTAAATAAATAAAATTAAAAATTGCTCTAAATAAATGGTTTTTTTTTTAAAAAAAAAACTGCATTTGAGTTCTCGATACATTAACACGTTATAATCGGCGAAAAGGGCTATCCGGGTTTGGATCGGAGGGTCGTCTAATCACGTGATCGGAAAATCACACCTACATCCTGGATTTCTCTTTGAATTTAAGAACGAAGAACTTGCTATTAAGCCCAATACTAGAAATAAATAAATAAAATGATGAGTACATCATGTCATCATCGTATCCTTCTAGTCCTTGACGCGACTGACAGT